TGAATTAGAAAGAAATCAGATTAGTACAGAAAAATTTTAGAAAGTATATAAAATGAAAGACTGATAAAAAATGATAGATTTTAACTTTATTTTTATACTATTTGAAACAATAAAAAGATTCTTGATTAAATTCAATCATGCTTGTAGATTTACAGTGTTTTTTTCAATAAATTAGTTGGTGTAGATATTGTTCTTTGCCTTCAATAGACGTAGATGTATATTGATAGATTTGCAATAAAATGAAGATATTTCTTTAATTTTTTGTTTACCTATTGTTATAGGAATTTGTTGAGACAATGTATATGTCGATCATTTTAATTTACAAAGAAAAATTTTTTGAAGTAAAAGAAAAAAGAAGAAATTCATAATAGTGTATAAAGTTAAATTAAAGATATATTCTTTCTATATTATCAAAATAAAATTTGTTTTGTTCGAATGTATCATAGTTCTATGAATATAATAGTGAGAATGAGTTCTTTTTAGTAACTTTTTATAGAAAGAAGAAATGAATACACTTTAAATCATGTATTACAGATTTTCTTCTAATACTATCGATTTATCAAATATTTTTCTTCAATTTTTTCTAAGTGTTCGAAGAAATGTATCTTTTTTATGTGTAAACAATTTAACAGATATATTTCTTCTTAAAAAGATCAACTGAAACAGTCGACTAGTAATAAGAGTAGCCATTGTAGTGATTTATATTTTATATCTAGACATAACCACCTGTTATTACTCATATGTATGAATAGAATAAATTAGTTTTTTGAAACAAATGTAAGCAATAGTGACTGATACAATTTCGTATAGTTCTATAAAATCTTTGAAGATCTAACGATGAACTATAGTGGAGTTAATAGAAGAAGGTAGTGTTTTTTGTTCGCAGAAGAGTATAATGAGAATGGCACAAGGAGAAACAAAGAAGATAATGTTATTATTGAAGCTGTTTATTAAATTTCTTTAAATCAAACGATATTATATACATAAATAAAAACCAAAGGGAAACAAACATGATTTCCATGCTAGAAATCAAGTAGACATCAACAGAAATCAAAAAGGTGTGGGTGTGGGTGGGATGTGAGTGCCAAGTGAATATAGTAACCACAACTTTGCGCACCCTCACTCACACCTACACCCACACCCACACCCATTCTTGATTTTGACAATATATAAAGTGCATTTGATCTTTGTCGATATAAAAATTGATAATAATTTAATAAAGAATATTCTATTTAAGGTTGTTTTTAATTCATTTCATAACTAAAAAATGATGATCATTACTTAATGAACTTGAAATTCCGAATTAATAAAAATTCTTCCTTGATTTTTTTCTCGTATACATAAATGAAATGGTACATGTTCACAAGTAGTTTTTTCTCCATTATACTGGCATCCGTATGTTGAATTTACTTTATATAATCCAGCACCACCAAAAGCTGAGCGTACTTCAAGTAAACCATATGTAATTGGCATATGTTTTTGGTGAATACCAATAATTAAATCTACAAGTGTACCACCACAATATTTTTTACCAGATTTTCCTAAATCCCATACCCGATGCCAGACATCATAGTTCATAACTGAATCAGATAATGTACGTAATGCCCAAATATCATAATATGAACTGCTTGCTGATGCTGTCATTACTGACCAATCATCTATGTTATATCGAAAATTAGAAAGAAAAGAAGAAACTGTTGTAGAAAATATATCCAAATCGGTAACTACAATATAATCAGCTTTTAAATCATGTGCTTTGTTAAGTAGTTTATTGCGACAAAAAGCAAGACGATCAGTACGTTCTGGATATGATTTCATCATATTACCATATGTATAAACTTGTGCACGAGACCATTCATAAAGTTTTTCAACTGTTTTATCATTTGAATCACTTTCACAAATAAGAATGCGAGATGATGAATGGAAGAGATCAATAATTGGTTCAATATGAGTTCGATATTTTTTAATATTTGATTCAACATTACGAGCACATGATACGACAATTAAACGAAGAGAATGAAGTTGATGAAGAATATTTTGATATGATGAATTTGATATTCGTTGAGGTAAATTTAACTGAGGATATTCACGTTCATAAAAAGATCGATTGTCTGATACTATGGATTCACAACTAGGCGTAGGAGCATTGGATGAGAGACGAGTAGTAACCGTTGAAGACGTAGAAGTTGTTTTATTTTCTATTATCAACAGTGGAATGGTACTTGGAGGTTTGTTAACAGAAAAGAAGACAACAAGAGTAAAACAACTGATAAGTGCGAAAAACAATAGGTATTTTAACTTGAAACATGTAAGGTGACGATATTCAAACATTTTTTATATTTATATATCAAAAATAGATAAAATATTTCAGTAATACCATCAGTTGAATATTTTTTTATAGTACTAAAGAAAATAAAAATAAAAATAAACTAGATTATCATAGAAACTCAACGAAATTACAAAAGAAATGATCAAAAATATCTCATATGAAGTGTAATCATGGAATTATTACAGTTGCAATTAGTTGTTTACAAATAGAATTTTCTTTTTTCTTGAAATTATGATTACAAGCTTTTTCTTTGTTTTTTTCATAGTAACTTATATGCTTAAGTTAGATAAATTTAATGACCACAATGGAGAAAAATCCATTTTTTTTGTATTCTTAGACTCAAACATTTCTCGTCTTTACCGTTCGTACAGATGCCTTGAATTCTACCTATATAGTTCGTAATTGAATAGATAAATTAAAAAAGATTTTTTTTATTCTGTAGCTCAAACGTTTGTGAAAATGTATTAAAGAGTTTTTGTATGTTGTGTTTCTTTTTTTCTCTTGCTGAATAGTTCAGTTTTCATTTTGACTATTTCTAGATTCATTTTCTAACAAGACTAATAAATCAAAAGGTTTAAGAGGGTGTGGATAGTTGTGACTGTGGGTATTCTGTTCGTTTCACACCCACACCTGCTCTCAAGATTTTTAGAATAAAAATATTATGATACATCTAACAAAACTTTTCTTCCTAAAGTTTTATATGAATGATAGCAAAGCAATATCATCAAGCATTTAAGACGATCCTGTTTTATGAATCGTTCATGCAAGTGAAAAGAGTAGGGATTTTAAAAAAACGATTAAAACGAAAACTAATTAAATAAGTATCAGAAATATTGTAAAATATTCTGTTTTTTTAAAATAAACTTTTAGTATTTGATTGTGTTTCGATAAAATCCGGAAACTAATTTGAACTTGCAAAAATAAAAATAGTTTTGAATTTTGGTTTATTATAGAATACTATTTCCTTGATAAAAGTTAATTGTTGAAGGTGTAGGTGTGTTTATGAATAAGGATACTATCCGAGGCTGATATCCAGAGATATACTCTCATTCAAATTCACCTAATCCATCTTGCTGGTTCATGAGTACAGGTGCGGACATGGGTTAACGCATATTGAACACCCACATCTTTAGTTTTATGACTATTTTAAACAATACTAATAATAATCAAGACTATCAAGTCACATGAAATAGGAGGAGAAATAGAATGATTCATCATACTCATTGAACAGCAAACAAAGTAAATGTGACACTGATGTTTGACGCAGGCCGTGTTAGGATATGAGTAGCTATGATTAGCTCCATAAGCAGGTAGTTCGTTACATTCAACGAAAATGAAGATGCATATCCATGTCGTCTTTTTTTTGTAAAAACCGACAGTAAGCGGCGATTTTAGTCAACACTAATGGACGATCTTGCCTCTCGTCTTTCCGGATTCTTCATTTCACTAATAATCAAACAAGATTCTTACCTGAAAAAAAAAAGTCTAAACATTCTTGTGGTATTCTTTTCTTCTTACAATTCTTCTGTGATTTTTTTTCTTCTCAAAATTATTCTTGATTTTCTTTTTTCGTTGCATCTAACATGTTTATTTAAGAATCAATAAATAATAAAAATAATGTATTTACATAAAAATAATGAAAGAATAATATTAAAACCATTTTATTTAAAGCAAATTTACGATGACAGTCAAGAATGTCATTGAGGGTTTGGGGTGTAGGTGTGGGCGTGGGTGTAAGTGTTGCGTGGGTTTAAGTGTGGAATGAACAGAATACCGTCACCGTCACCGACACCCACCCGTACTCTCAAGATCAATATTTTGAACTAACATTGCCGACTACTTTCTAGTGAGAGGACATTTCTAAAAGAACATTTTATATGAGGGACTTTTTCTGAAGGACGAAATAACAGGGACATTTTTGAAAAGATATTATCTCAAGGACATTCTTGACTGTATTCAAATTTGCAATAGAAAAATAATTAATTTTTTTTATTTGTATTAAAAACTCATACCTATTGTTGAAGTTCGTCTTCTTCATATTTGTTGCTTGAATCGATGATTGATCTTTCGTTAAATCGTCATCCAAAAACTCTTAAATCAGCTCCAATTTGATATAGTGATATGGTCTAATATATCTATCTTTTCTTCTTAAATATTCTGACTCATCTGCTATTGAAATGCAACTCAAATGTTGTCTGATTTAAAAATGAATAAATAAAGTATAGTCGTTGACATATATAGATACAGACATCATGTGATATTGATCTTGAAGATCAGGGTGTAAGCGCGAATGAAGAAAAGATGAATGCACACCTAAACCCTAATCATTAAAAAAAGATCAATCAGAACATATTCATGAAGTGATTTCTTTATTGTCTAACAATATATTTTATCGTTTCTTGCTTATTCAGTATTGTATTTTATGAAAAGAATTGTTATTTGTTAAATCTCTATAATAATAAAAAATAACTGATACATTAGTCATATCTAATAATGTGACAATATTGCAGGCGTGTGTACGATAAACGATTTGTATTTTTTTCATATAAAATATTATTACGTTTCTTTTTTTTTGCGTTATTATATTCAGTCACGCGTATCAACCCACGAGAAATGATTTACTTATACAAATATAAACACACACATAATTCGTTCTCTATTACTTTTCAACATGTGTTTTTTTAAATGTTTTAAAGCTAATAATACATACGATACTGAAATCGAAGGTATGATCGATAATACTGACAATGAAGAGGAATTATACATTAGTGATCAAGTAAAACTTGTTTATTTTTCATGTACACCATCGCCAGATCAAGATTTGATCAACATACTCAATTCATTGACAAAAGATACTAATATTGAGGTTAGTTAAATTATTAATATCTTTTTGAAAATATGTAAATGAATTATATTTCCAGACTTTTACTTCGGAAAACAAATGTATTGAATATATAAATTCAATAACAACTAAACTATTTCTTATTATTGATGATTCACCAACAAATATTCTTATTGAATTAATTGAACCAATGAAACATATTGATTCATTATTTATTTATTCATCATCATCATCATCATCATCATCTGTTGTTAATCAAAATGAACATTCTTATATTATTAATTTATGTCGAGATAAAAAAGAACTTATGAATAGTATTCAAAAATCATATGAAGCGCTTGATAAACAACTAGGTACATTTACTATCTATAATAAAGAAGAAAAATTCATGCGAGATCTTTCAAAAGACGGTGGTTCATTTTTATATTTTCAATTATTTTTAAATCTATTAAAATATTTACCAAAAACAGACGAAGCAAGAAACTGTATGATTAGAATATGTCGAAATTATTACCGAGGAAATTTCAATGAATTAAAAAATATTGAAGAATTTGATAGAACATATAGATCAATTGATGCTATTACATGGTATACAAAAGATATATTTATTTCCAAGTAAATTTTTCTATAAATAAATCAATAAAATAGCTGATTTTTTTTTTAGATTTATTAATAAAATTTTTCGTACTGAAAATGTGGATGTTTTATCTCAATTTAGTTTTTATATTAACGATTTAAGTGAACAACTTCAATTGAAATTTTTAGAATTTAAACAAAAACAAAAAGGTGTTGTTAAACTTTATCAATCGTTAGAATTAAATAATAATGAATTAATTTATTTTCAAAATAATATTGGAAATATCATTTCACCAAATGGATATATATTAACAACGAATGAACGTTCAATTGCGCATGATTTTCTAATAAAATCTGCTAAAAAAGAAGATGTTGCACGAGTTTTATTCCAATATGAAATTGATTTATATGTTGTTGAAAAAATAGTTCTTGCTGATATTCGAGAATATTCATCATGTCCAGAAGTTTTAATTGATATTGGAGCATCATTTCAAATCGATTCTTGTCAATTTAATAACGAAGAAGATTTATGGTATATAAAAGTTCATGCAATTGATTATAGTATTCCTTCAGCTGTTCAATACATCGAATACCACAAGAGAGAAATGACTCAATCAAATATAGTTCTTATGTTGGGTAATTTACTTATTGAAATGGGTGAATATACTAAAGCGGAAAGATATTTTGTTACAATTCTTAATTCATCAAATTTAAATGATGAAGAACTCGCTTGTTTATTTTTTTATTTTGGTCGTATATCTCGATTGCAAGGTGATTTTAATCGTGGAATAGATTCTTATAATCGTGCATATAAGTTACATATGAATGCTCGACCAAAACGTTCGGCTAGTGCTGGAAAAGCATTAAATGGTCTTGGAGTTATTTTTAATGAGCAAGGTAAAGAATTGAAAGCTGAAGAATATTTTCAACGTGCTATGAAATTATATAAAAAAAGTCTACCAAAAAAACATCTTGATATTGCTGCAACATTAATTAATTTAGGTACTATTGATTGTGATCGACAAGATGTAAAATATAATATTTAAAACAAAATTTATTTTTTTAGTTTGTTTTTTCTGATTTTATTTAGTATGATCAAGCATTAGTTAAATATCTTCGAGCAAAAAAAATTTATGATTATTCACTACCAGCAACTCATCCAAGCTTTGCATTACTTAAAATTAATTTAGGTAATCTTTATTTAGCCATGGGTGATTATGAAAATGCTTATAAACAATATGATAGTGCACTTAAAATACAAGAATCATCATTACCAAATAATCATCCTGATATAGTTCGAACATTACATAATCTTGCAGTTGTTCAAACACACCGAGGAATAAATGATCAAGCAAAACAATATTTAGAACGAGCAGAAGAGATAGCTAGTAAAACATTATTATCAGAACATCCAGTTATGAATTTACTTGCTAAAACAAATGATTTTATGGTTGAATATGTTTATGATTAGATTTATAACGAACGGTTAAGACAACTAGAATTTCTTTATAATATATATATTTTAATAAAGAAACTATTTTTAAAAATTTTTAACCTGAGGGTGTGGGTACGAGTTTGATGCACATACTGACTCATTCACACCCACATCCTATATAATCCTATAATATTATCTCTTTGTTACACTCAACTGCAGTTTATAAAATATCATTTTTAATGAACTACCAGCTTTATTTGTTTTTTTTTCTGTAATAATATTAAAGAAGTTTATAAATTAGCGATAGATTCAGAATAGTATTTTCGGTTACCTTGATAAAAAAAACTTTTGTTGATAATAAATGACTCGGTCTGTTTTGAGTATTGAGTTAAAATGAAGGTAAATCTCATTTTAGTTACACTAGCATTTTCATTTAAGTTTATCTATTCTTAAACTAAAAGAAAAGAACAGGTTGAAAGGTTCGTCATATATTTATGAGTTTATCCATCAAAATTAATTGCAATCTATATTCTCATTAAGGTTCCTAGAGTGCTTATAGAAAAACTTCTAATAAATACAACACTGCTAACATCTCTATTAATAATAATTGCAGTCGATCCCATCGGGCGATGAGCCTATGGGACGTTAATATTTTTATATAGCACGGTGCAATAATCAATTTGCATAATCCGCTCATAAGTCACCCGGTAATGAAAAGAGGATCTAGAAAAAAAAAGAGAGAGATAATATATTATTAAGCATAGTTTCTCATCTTTTTATTTTTTTTTTTTTCCCTTTCCAAGAAGCAATTTGCCATTAACAAGTCGCATTACCTATATTCCATTTGATCTTCTATTTTCACTGTCGGATGACTTACAAGCGGATTATGAACACGGCTTCTTCTAATTACTGCATTAATTTAGATTTCATTTTGATACGTCAACTCGGACTGATTACAATAAAAAAAAATAGCTTCGTATAATGTCATCGACATCATTTGCTAACATTAGTACTCAATTCGGTATTTATGTTGGTTTGCCATTGTTTACCTTTGGTATACTCGGTAATCTAATCAATCTTTGTCTCTTATTTCCTACTCAATCAAATCCAACTTCATTTCTCTTATTCGTCTCATCATTATTCAATCTACTTGCACTATCAGTGGGTCTTCTTCCAAGAGTTTTAACCGTAGGATTTAGTATTGATGGAACATTGACTATCTTAATTTGGTGTAAAACTCGTATATTCCTTTCTTATATTGGTATACTCACCTCTCTAACATGTATCTGTTTTGCCTCTATCGACAGATATTTTGTATCATGTCGAAGCGTTACATGGCGCAATCGAAGTAAAGTGGGTACAGCAAAAATCGCTATTTTCATAGCCATTCTGATTATTATCAGTATTAATGTACCATATATTCTTTTCAATACAATTATTCAAATGCAAACTACTACAAAGTGTTCTGTAATCAATTCTGCCCTTATTTTTTATGGCAATTATTTTGTTCGTCCTATTCTTTTCAGTGTAATACCTGGTACAGTTTTAAGTATTACCGGTTGGTTCACTTATCGTAATTTAACTTCAATAGTCGGCATTCAAGTACGTGGCACATTTCAACGAAGTTTAACTTCAATGCTTCTCCTGCAGATTGTTGTAGTCATCATTCCAATAATACCTTTCGCAGTCATGAATATCTATCAAGTTATCACAGCATCAGTAGTAAAAACATCTTATCGTACAGCACAAGAAGCACTAGTCTTGGATATAACTAATATTATTTTTTACACTGGCAATGCATCAAATTTTTATGTATATTTTATTTCGGCATCATCCTATCGTCGGGACTTTGTACGATTTGTTCTTTTTTGTTACAGCGGAGATCATTGGAACAATCGTATTATACCTATCATAATGCAACAGCATCAAATGAATGAAACTTCGATGAGAACACAATTACCAAGATTACACAATAAAGTTCATGACCAAAACATTGTTTAAAGAGAAAGTCAATGACTAACAATAAATAGAAATTTTTTTTCATTAATGTAAATACATTGAATTAAATCAAATACTCAATATTTCACTTGTTGAAGGTGGATGAGTGTGCTTCACATAGAAGACAATACCCACATCTACACTCTCAAGGTTTCTACTAATTTTTATCTCTTAATTTATTTTCGATAATGTGAAGACAAATTAAATAACAAAAATTACACAGCATGTTGCCAAAAAAATTACGAAATAAATAAGTCCAAATATAATAATAATAGTAAAGATTAAACAACAAAAAATAATTATCATCCATATGAAGAAGGTCAGAAATACAACCAATATACCGTTAACAGATTGAACCACGACCTCTCTTTCAAATTCGGATAATTGATGCTGTCGTCGTTGGGGACTTTCATTTCTCGGTATGATCTTTTTCTCAGAACGCCATCGTCTGCGAAACAAATTTCCTATTCTTGTCATTTACGTTTTTAAGCACCGTTCCAATGTGTGTATAAAAATCTCTCTGATGTCATTTATAATTGCTGTTCTTTTATAGACATAATTTCATGACATAGGATTTTTTCCTTTTCGATCAGTTCCTTTTCTGCATAAGAACAAAAAAAGAGAAATGAATGAAAAAAAACTGACTGATTAAATAAATTCATTTTTCACAACAATTTTAAAAATATCAAATAATTTTCATGATCTGCTATTGTTTTTGCATCGAAAAATGAAACTTAATCGAATCGATCTAATGCAAATAAAATGTGACTCACATTTGAAATGACGAAAGTTTTCTTTGGCACGTGGATGAAAATAATAATGATCCATGAACAAAACTGATGAAAAAATCTCGATTGATATATTAAACAACATGCGTTTATAATTATTACACTCCTGAAAGAAATCAGTAAGTAGCGCTCTTAAAAAGACGATATGTTAGATTATTAAAATATTTTCAAGATGTGTTCAAAGACAATTTTTTATATTTAGTATTTGTTTTAGTTTCTTGATATTTCGATTAGTGGCTCTTGGTATCATTATACTCAAGCTATACATCGAAATATACAAAGAATAAGATTAGTTTCTATGTATAAAAAAAATACAAAGTGAACACTTGATTAAAAAGTTTTAAATCGATGATCTTGTCAAAATATAAAATTTAATTAAAGAAATACACGTGCAAGTCACCGACGTATTTTGTATCGTTTATTTCATAATATAAACACTCATCAAGGCTGTGTATTTCATGCAAATTACAAATTGTAAATTATATAAAAAAAATGGTTTGATTAGACAAAAATTAAAGCATCTTGAGAGTGGATGTGAGTGTGTTACTTATAATCTCACACCTACACCCACATCCACACCCTCGAGTTGAATGTCTCGAACCGAACCGGTCCCATCTCTGATGTCCAATATACTCTACGGAATCTTAGAAATATTCAAATGTTAGGTCATGCTACAAATGCTAAAAAATATTTTCATTTTGATCAAAATCGTATTCAATCTATTACACCACAAAGTCATATATATAGTGAACACATTTGTTGTAAAAACACCAAAAAAACTATTATATTAATTATCAAAGATTGATTATTTTTATTAAGTTATATTACTTTGTATTTTTCTAGATTTATATCGGTGTATTCTTGTTAAATATTGTATCGATCGCTAGATGATGTTGAATATATAAATATATGTATAATGATGCATAGAATTTATTTAGTAATTGATCACTAACTTAAAATGATTAGTTGTTTGATTTTATATAAACAAAATATAAAGAAATCTTGTCATTAATAATGAAGAAGAACTGAGAATAGTATTTATTCATTCATTGTTTTTTTTTCTTCAATAATTATAACATCGCGAAAGAAAATGTTGAATATTCTGTCTTTTTAACCTTGAAAATATTATTAATTTCGACCGTTTTGTAAATGAACAACAACGTTTTTCATAGTAATCTCAATTATGTCAAGTATTTTTTAAATTGACCATTAATAATAAATGAAATTGTAACACATAAATGTGTCCATAATTGAAAATGTTCGAAAATAATTTCAGATTCTTATTAATATTTGATAGTTTGTAGTTGTGAGAGATTAAATATTATATTGATTATTACAATAGATTGACTAATAAATAAATATGTGGATAAGTTATTTGATAGTATTGAAACGTTGATATAAATTTACAATATTATATTTTAAGTTTATATGATAATCAATAGAGAAATAGACGATCAAATATGATTAAAAAAAACTATTTCTCTATTGTTTTGCTTTAGATTGCAAGTTAATATTGCTGGTTGACACGAAACAATCGATATTTATGATCATCTGATCTGATGATTCAATGTTTAAATTGTACATCATGGTGATATTTTTTTATTTTTTTATTGTAATCCAAAACCATATGTATTAATTAATAATTGTTTTCTTAGATTAAAAGCAAAATATTTTTGATAATCTTTATTTGTTGATATTACATCTTTCACCATTCGATTATAGTAAAAGAAAATAGTAAACAGAGAATAGTTTATTAATCCTATGTTATCTGATAGCATTTATTCTTTGGTCGTCTTCCAATCATTAAATCAATAGTTGAATTGTCGATCATATTGACATATTTTTATGACTGTATGGTTTGTTGGTAAAGTATATGAAAGAGTATTGTTTTTTTTCTAGCTGATCGTATATAGATCAGATGAAGCGGCCGTCTATAAATTATTCAAAACCTTTTTAGTAATTGATCTGCTCGTCAATCATGCGTTGTAAATACTGTAGGAAAACATCCCATGTTTACTTCTTCCAGGCACTGACAACGATAACGATTGTGGTAGTTCACAATAAAAAAAAAATAACAATGTTTATGCTTCATTGCGTTTTCATAAACAAATGTAAGTATATAAACAGCTCTCATTTCACCTGTATACAGTCATTTGACGATAGCAACTACACGCTTCTCTAATTGCGATAATTTATCTACAAATACAAAAATGATTCAAGCTATATTCAACGCTGGTGTTGGTCAAGGTATGAATCCCTGCTGTCCAATGCCACGACCACAAATGTGCTGTCCACCTCCAATGCCACAACCACAAATGTGCTGTCCACCTCCAATGCCACAACCACAAATGTGTTGTCCTCCAATGCCACAACC